TCCCTACCCTTGCTCCTCTAGGCCCTTTCCTGCCAGTCCTTTGGAAACAGCCATAGGAATCCCTTGCAACGAAGAAGGAAAACAGCCTTTTTACTGATTGCCTTCCTGCACTTGAGACAAAAAAGGGACATATTTTGACTTTACAAACATCTTAGGTGAATGCAATTAGGGACAGTGTTGTTGGCCTTCAATAAGGCATGATGTTGATGCTGATTGGCCAGCAGTTCTCACTCTGCCCAGCACCTCTTCCATGGGGCTCTTTTTGTCTTGGAAATAGGCAGGGTATTTAGCAGCAACAGAAGTACTGCTTTCCCACCAGTTTTAGATCCAAAGGTTTTCATACAATGCATATGCTTGATTGCCATTTACTTTCAACAAGGTGCTGTTTCTGAACTAGAATGCCTGGATGATTTCTGGTCTCTTTAAGCCAGCATAGAAAATGCTTTGTCTTCCAGTTCCAGTTCTGCTCGTCTTCACACTGGACTTTTAAAACACACATAAATCAGTGTTCACAGTATAAAAAATGGAAAAAAAAAACCAACCAAAAACCAACTTGTTGACAGGTACCTTTTTGTTTTGGGGAAAGTTTGCATTTGCTTTTAAAACCACAACTTTTTCTGCAGTCTCAACAACCAATGAGATGTTACAAGTTGCTTGGGGACACAGCATTTGACCTGCACATGACTCAGAGTTCATCTGCAGTGCAAGAAGAACTAGCTGAGGTTTGCACATCTCCCTACCACATACCCTCTGGACATAGAGATTCATATCTCCGCATCTGTTTTATCATTCCTAGCTCGGCAGATGAAACTAAGCAATCTTGCAAGGTGCATGGCAGTCTTTTCCTTTCCTAAGAAAATCCTTGGCAAAATATGAGGATCTAGATGGCGTGAACATGAGCAGCATTAACTGCTCCAAAATCGGTACTCCTTCAAAACACCTGAAAGGCAGTTTGCTGATCTTGTGAAGATTATTTCCTTTGTCCTCTTCCATTATTAATAAAAGCCCAGGCTCTGCTGCTCCAAACATTTGAAAAATATTCCTTTCCACGTGATCTGTTTCAGAAAAAAGAAACTGAAACAAGAGCACTTCAGGGATAAGACCCATAGCTCAAGCATAACCGAGGCAAAACCAGGTTGCCTGCTACAGCATACTGCTAGAGGATCATAAGATCATTTAGATTGGAAAAGAACTTCAAGATCATCAAGCCCAGCTGTCAATCTGATCTACTGAGTCCCGTCACTAACCATGTCCCTTAGTGCATACTGAACTTCCTCGGACTGGAATTTAGCCAATTCTTTTGTACCATTCTAAAATGGTACTGGAAAGTGAAAGAAAAAGATGCCAAGTGCACACTGTTAGAAAAGCATCCTCAACCTCTTCTCTTCTGAGACAGCAACATCTTTTACTCATCTCAGGTACATGCCTAGAAGCCTCATAGGAATATAGCTGGCAAAAGCTCCTGTTTTGATAAAAGAGGAGGAGTCAGGACAAGTCAGGCAGTACCTGAGTTGAATCACTCTGAATATGCCTGATTTTCTTCATTGATTATGTTTTCAGAAAAAGAAGCGAAGCCTTGCTCCTCGTTTAGTTGCCCTGGTGAAGTGGCCAGGGTCCTGCTGGTGGAGCAAGCCCTGCACTGAAGCAACACCGAAAGCACTCAGAGAAACAGAGCATTTAAACAGAAAGAAAACAAAATAAAGCAGTAATCATTTTAAGATGACAAATCAATTTGCCTGCATGCAACACTGAGCCCTGTGTAACAGATAAAGTAGGCGATATGGTGTTGCTCAGTGTGGAATAAAATCATTCCCACGGTATTAGCTTATCTTCCAGTTTATACAGTGCCACAGAAACAAGCTGTGGAAACCTGGCACCCTGATGAACCTCAGAGGCGTAGTGAGGGATGGAGCAGGGCTGCAATGCTGAGGAAAAGAAGGCAGAGAGGGAAGGAACAATGCAGAGAGGAGCAACGTGGCAAGGAGAAGGGAAAAAAAAGCTTTCCACCTTTCAACAGTGATGAGCCTTTGATTCAGGTTGTTCATATCACAAAATTGTACCCAAAAGGACCCTAACTGAGATGTCTTTACTTTTTGTCATTTTGAGCTCGTGGTAAACACTCATAGGATATTTTTTCAAAGGAACAGAATGAGAGCAGAATGATTTTTATAGATCCAGAAAGTCAAACTACACAGGACATGAAAAAGTATAGTAACAAAAGTTTAAAATCTCTTCTGAGAGCATCTCTTTCTCCGTTTTGTTTTATTTGTCCTGATACTGTAGCTCTTTTCTGATATTTGTTGTCAATTTTCTCATTCAGAAAATAAAATATAGCAGTCTGCAGAAACTCGGGAGATTGCAGTGCATGGACAAAAGCTCACCAGATGGAGGTAAACAGATTCTACCCCTACTTTTCCTAATATTTCCAGGTCTACTTAATTTTGTTTTCAGCAAGAGTATTTTCCAATAGCTATAATCCTAATAATAATAATAACAATCTGATAAATAATAGAAGAATTATTAGCTATGTGAATGCATTGCAAAAGAAAGTACACAATTTTTTTTACTTGATAGTATTGCATTCAGGACTGTAAATGCTGCACCAGAGAGATGGCAGGAACATTGTTTCTGATTGTTTGCTAAGGCAAATTGTACTTGAGGTTAGGAAATACCTCACCATATCAATTTTAAATGCCTGAATTAAATTTAGCTGTGGAGAGGGAAGAAGAGTTCAGGATTACATGATCCGGGGACAGCTGTGCTATGGAAAGCCTATTTCTCCATCTCTTAGCCTTCAGATTAGAATTTAGCCCTACAGGTGATGAAATGACTAAAAATCCTGATGTAAATAACTCAGTGAAAATGGGAACACAGGACTATTTATATAAAAGGAGAATGCAGCAAGCCTGGGAAGCAGAGCATCTGCGTATAACCTGATAATAGCATTACCTTTGGGATAGTTACATGTGCAAGTATGCCTTTACACCAGTAATTCAGCTGCTACCTTGTAGCAATGTAATTACCCTTTGAAGACGGGCTACAGTTTCAATTCATTTACATTCTAAAGAAATTTCTTTCTTTTAATAATAAAAGCCTTTTCCATTTCTTAGTAGGTCTGAAGATCTTGACAGGGCCAGTGCAAGCTTGAGAATTCTGGGCAAAAGTGATGGCCCTCAAAGCACCATAACCATAACATAACCATAACATAAGAGGTTTAAGACCTCTGTCTCATCCAGAGAATCAGAGCAACCTGCGACAGACAGCTCTGTGGACACCTATCCAATCAGACGTGGTTCTATGGGAGGACCAGGCATTCCTATTTGCTAGCTTGCAATACATCTGTTTGTTAAGGTGTTGGTTTTGACTGGACCCTTGTGGACTGCTGGGGAGCAGCATCCCATCATCAGCAACTTGTAATGAAATCTGTTGGCTGCTGTAGGTGGGAGATAAGAGCTCTGCCTTCTCTTAGCAGATCACTACGAATCCAACACAGGACTTAGTGGTTTCTTCACTCAAAAATACCAACAGAGCTGGTAATAAGAACATGGAAGACACAACTCAGTATGGATTTGGATGGTGTGCAGTCATAAAGACTGCAAGGAATATGTTTTCTGAATGGATTAGTGAATCCATGTTGAATAGGAAGCTGCTCAGTAGATGCCGTGCACTGCTGGACACAGGACAGTGTGTGAAAAAAGGCAGATATAAGATTAATGAAATGTGACTATCAATGGTTGCAAAATGGCTGTATGCAAAAGCTGCAAATCTTTTTGTCGAATTTTGAGCTGTACTGAAACTGCTGTCTTAATCTAAGTTAATTTCTTATGCCCCTGTGGAGCTCTGTCACCTCATCTGGACATGCCAATCTTCCCTTGCAATTTTAGAAGGAGTGCAGAAGAGTAAATGAGGCTGGAGAGCAACTTTTAGATAGCTCAGATTAGGTGAGATGAGTTAGAACCACATCCCAGGGGTCAAATTATTGCTATTAGGCTCATCTGAATTCTGATATTTCCCAAGATTGCTGTATCCTTCAAGAGATTTTCTGGATGCATATGGAAGGGATCCATCAATTCCCAGATTGCATCAAAATTATTTACACCCAGGCTGCTCAGAAAGCTGAACTCTCTAGAGATCAGAGAACTGCTAAAATGTTCAAGTTCTTAATAAAGCATTTCCAGGTGAAAAAATAAGACATGTCCCTGCAGACTTGATAACCTCAGTGGCCCAACTGTTTGAGCTGTTCTCATTGAAGGTGTTTATTCTTTTAACAAAGATTTTCCACTTTAGTGAAAGTGTTGCAAGTATGATGTGGAAAGAACTTGCAATATATGATTTTGAATAGTGTCCTTCATTGCCTAGGGGCCTTAAAAGCAGGCCCCTCTGTGTCTGCTTTTGGAATTCCTATTGAAGTGGAGATAATTTTACCTAAGTAACAAAATAAATAAAATCTAGACAAGAATGCTGTTGCTGAGGCTGAATTATATTTAGCACTAACTCCTTGCAGGCTCTATTTTCACTCTGTCAATAACAGATGTGCTGTTTGCTGGGTATGGCTGAACAAATCTATTTTCAAATGTCTCCTTGACTCCTTCACAATCTGCTGCATTCCACTGATAGTACACTAAGCTGCTCAGTTGGGAGAAGAAATATGGGAGATGTGAACAAATTTGAACGTATCCTTTTTGGGAAAAAAGAAAAGAAAAGAAGCTGTTTGAGTTCTTTTTATTTATTTATGAATAAGTTGAATCAGGAAATCTAGCTTTGTAACTTCTAGCTCCAGGAACTGTGATAGGAACAATGATAATAAATATTAGCTCTTATTAGTGGAGAACTCTCTTCTGATTACTTACAGCTACTTATTTGCATACACCGTTTGTTTAAGTTGTACCCATGCCAGGAGTGCCTCTTTATGCAAGCACATACGGTCTTTCTCAAGGCATTGCAAGTCAACATGTGAAATTATATACTGCAAATATGTGCATTAATTCTCACTCAGGATAATTATAATAAATCAATTTTTTTTTTTTTTTTTTTACTTTTATAATAAAGCAACAGATTTTAAGTTGAAAATTTAATGACTCAATGAGGTTAATGATCAGAAACAGCACGCAGTTCTTGGAGAAATGGAAAGTATTTTTTTGCACAGGAACATTAAAATTCAGAGGCAAGTTTATCTTCAGGAAATATCTGTGCCTTATTTGACTGAGGGTAAATGATTGTCCCTTCAGTGCCACCTTATGTTGTCAAAAATCTTCTGTGAGGACTTTTAGAGAGTTACGGGAACTTCTGAAGTGCAGCATGAAGGTTGGATTCTTGGAGCCTTCCAGTTGGCCTATCTCACCCAACCCAGGTACTTCAGTGTTCTGGTCAAGATTCAAAACTCAGGAAACAAGCTAAAATTATACTTGTGATTTAAAACATGAAGGCTTTCTTTCAATTAGCTCTTCAGCATTGGCACTGATTTGCAATAAGGAACCTAGAAAAGGAGACAGAAATTCCACCCAAATAAATAGGGCTAAATCAACATTACTTTCTGCTAAATATGTTAGTTAATACTAGATGAAGGTGTAGCAAGCTTTATTACCTCTATAAATGCAAATACATGTGTGTTCATCTAGACTAGTTCCCAAAGGCAGTGAGGGTGTGCTATTGCTAGCAAACTCCGTGCATAGGGTCAGTGACCAACTTGGAGTTTGACTGGCACAAAACAGGCAGTATCCACACTATTAAACTCTCTTATCTGCCAAAATATGCAGTTTGCCTCTTGGGAGTGGTATGTTGATGCCTGAACTGTGGCCAAGAATGGTGTGGGAGAGTGTTTCTTGGCCTGGACTAGTGTGTTCTTAGAATTTAGTTAGTGAGTATAGACTGAGCCCACGTTCCCTTAGCAGTATATACTGCACATTATGCTGGGCTTCTCAGGAAAGAGCAAGGAGGAAAAGGGGCAGTTGGACCTTGTCTTGTTTCCCTCCAAACATGCAGAGTGGCTCTGCAGGGCCAAGAGGGGAGCCTGGTGTTTTAGAACAGGATACAGAGCTGGGATGGCCTGTTTCACCAAGAGCCCACACCCAGCTATTTTTGCCACTTGTTCTGGAGAGTTTATCAGATTTTTGATGTTAGCCAAATATTTGGCTTGGGTGCCTCCCTTCTTCTCTTCCACATGGCCCAGTTACATGCAGACTTGCAAAGTGCAGGAGGGGCTTCCCTGGCTTTCCTTTCTGATATTTGATACATAATAGTCAAAACATGTGTGGTGGGTTGGCCCCAGCTAGCAGCCAAAGCCCCTTGTGGCTGCTCAGCCCATCCTGCTCCAAGCAGGATGGGGAGGGGAGAAAATGGGAAAAACGAGAGGGAGAAATCCTCATCAATTACCGTTACAGACAAAGCAGATTCAACTTTAGAGAATTCAGCTTAATTTATTGACAGCTAAAATAGATATTTAATTACTGATTGGCGTAGTGGGAAGCAAAAGAAGAAATAATCATGTACACACACAGAAGAGACCTTTCCTCCCTGTTCCCAGGCTCAACTCCTTGCTAAGTATCTCTCTCCTCTCCTCCAGTGGATGACAAGTGTCCTGGGGGCTTGTACTGGGGATGTGAATGTTTCTCTCCACTCTTCCTTCCATCTCACTCTGTGCTCCGCTGTGGGTTTCTCAATATCTGCTCTGTCATGTTTACTCTATGGACTACAGGGAGTATCTGCTCAGCCATGAGGCACCTCCTTTTCTTCATCTTCTGACTTCAGATCCCCCTTTGCTGTTTCTCACACTTTTTTTCTTCCCCATTCTGCCTGTCCAGTGCTTCCTCCCCTTTCTCAACTGTGTTTCCCAGCGTTGCCACCAGCTTGGCAGAGGTGCTCAGCTGTGCTGAATCACAAGGAGCTCATCTGGAAATGGCTGTGTCTGACACAGAGCACAGAAGCCACCCCTACAGCCTGCCCCCAGCTACAGCATTGCCATGGACATCCTGTGCAATGGTAGTTTGTTTCAATGGCTACGCACTTTCTCGTTCAAACTTATTTGTGTTTGACCTACCTTCATCCCCCCTTTCCTCCCATCCTCTTTTTCTCTTCTTTCATTTTATTTGTTTCATCACTGTTCTAGGTAGGCTTTTCAATGCTAAAATGAAGACCTGTGTTACTATTCATTGCTTTCTTCCTTTGAAAGTGCTTAGGTAATGTACCTTGGTCTTCATTTCAGGTAAACTAAGAGAGACTTGGTTAATCTTTGTCACTCCAGCTCTCCGAAAGTTTAGTTTCTTTATCTTCTCCACTTTGTCAGAAGCCTTTATTAAAAAGGGCCCCAAGCCTCACACAGTATTTGTCTTAAATCACCTGCACCTGTAGCACTTCATTGGTTTTGTAATTCTCTTCAGCCCTTCCCTAGCTCATGCATTAACCTGTTTTTTGTGGCTATAGTTTTGGCATGGGATGCTCATAATGCCTAATGTATCCTCACCTACTTTCATTCTGTCCTTTATTTGATAAGTATAGTTTTCCCTTCCTCTTTCTTGAAAGGAGGAATATCCTTTGGCCATCCCTATTTCTCTGGAGAGGCTCAGATTACCATGCAATCTAGAAGCTTTGCTCTGGTTTACATTACTGTTTGCCACTTTTTCAGTCTTTGTCCCTGGAATTACAATTTACTCCTTGATCACTTATGAAAGCTGTCAAAGTCACAATTAGTGAAACTTTTCCACAGTCACTGATGACAGTCTAGTGACAATGATGTTTTCCACGAATAGAGTTAGCTTTCTCTGTTACTTCATTTGTTACCTAGTGGCATTTTTTAGATCAGTGTAATGTTGCATTAATTCAGCAGCTTTATGAAAGTTTAACTGTGGAGCTATGACACACTTAATCAAAGTTGTAATATCATTTTAGAAGTAATTCAGGTTTATTTGACAAGAGCTATTTTCCTAAAACCAAGCTGATGAGATTTTATTACATTCCAATCCTCTAAATCTTTTAAAAGTTGAACCAGTGAAAAATGGTGTTTAGTAATTCCACAGGGAAGACAAAAGTAAGAAGCTTGTTACAGCCAGGGCTTGTTGAGTTTATAGTCTAACCTATATCACAAAAAGAGGTAGGTGGCTGCATGTGGAACAGGATGAGGGCAAGATGGCACTGACTGATGGGTTAGGATGGGAAATGTAACAGTGCTTTTGCAGTAACCCCCATTCTGGTTCTTGTTGCTGCCTTCAAGAAGGTCTGAACTCTGCAGATCACTTTGAGTAGATGAGACATACTGATGTGAGGTGCCTGTTCTAAGTCCAAAAAAAAAAAAAAAAGCAGAATCATTTGGAAGACATGGACTGGAAGGAGCAGGCCTTGCTGTGATAACTACTGCATTCCGCCTCTAGGGTTGTGGGACCTATGGGGACATCCCTGAGGTGTCACCAGCTCAGACAGCCATGGAGGAACCTGACTAGGTCACATTCACTTTGCCTTTCCCAAATATCACCTTTTGTTTCTTCCCTGTCTTCTTTCTTCTCTTTTCTTATCTGGTTGTTTGTGCTTTCTCTCATGTGAGTCTCATTTATCAGATTAAGCCTGCATGCTTTGCAATTTTATACTAAGCCTATGGCCAAATAGGCAACTAAAAGAAAAACTACAAGCAAGCTGCTGTTTGGGTACATCTGTGACTGATAAGGCCACGCATTTATCTGCCATTCTTTAGCAGAGTTAGCACCAGAAACAGAGGAGACATTTATTAGCCCTTGCTTTTATTTGACTTTCTGTGATTTGTATTCAGGAAAGCCAGCTCAGAGTCTAGCTTTTGAAAAGCAATGACTGGTCTCAGTTATCCCTAAGTTTTTCTCTTCTCTTTCCCTTCCTCACTCTTTCCCATCTCCTAACAATGGTTCTTAACTTTAACACCATCTCAGTTGCTGACAAGTGATGGAGAAAGGGTTACTTCTTTATACATTTTTTGAAATTAAGAGAAAGGCTAGAAGGAACAGTTCTAAAATAAAAATCTCTATTGATGATTTTAAGTGCTCAATTGGGTACTCTTTCTTTCTTTCATTTTTTTTTTTTTTCTTTTCCTTTTTCTTAGTTTAGAAGTTTTAATGTGGTATTCTGTCATAGGGAAAAGTCCTCAGGAAACCTCTGTGCTTAAAACTTCAGGGATCATCTGTTTGTTTATCTCTATACAGTATATTTGTACTCTGGATCAGTTAAGACTCAGGAAATGAACATGGCTTATTTTCTTTGAGAGCCCTCCAACTTGTTACCTGGGAGGTTGAAATACTTTGTCATAAATGTTGACATTGTTCTCAGAAGCTTATTAACTGCTCTTGTCCCTCAGACCTGGGTCACGTAGCACATTTTAGCCTCCACCTAGGCCTGTCAGTGAACCATTGTAGAATGCAGCTCTCCCAGGTGCAACTCAGCTTTTCCCTCTCACACACTAAGCTGGAGCATACGGGAGGAGAAAAGGACATCTGCACAAAACAAAAAAGCATGGAGATGTGAGAAGTTCCTTTCTGAGTAGAATCGTCTGGTGGGCCCCTGGTTGTGTGAAAGGTCAAAGTCAAGGAAAAAGTGCTCAGCCTAAAGAATTCCACCAATCAACCAGCAAGGCTTATGGTGATCTACTAGGAAGGTCTCTCCTGCTCTGCTGCAGTCTGATTCCTTCCTTCTCTAAAGAACGACAGACACCACCATCATGAGACCCATCTGCTGGGATCACTAAGCATCATCGTACTTCTTCACAACTATGGCCCACTGGTGTGGACCATACATGAACATGAACACAAAACAAAAAGCTGGTTCTTAATCCAACCTTCTTGAACAGTCAGGAGATTTCCCTTCTCATTTACTATTTTCTGATGTAAATTATCCACAACCACAATTGCATACTAACCTTTAAGGTACCACAGTCTGGAGGCAAACATGAAAGTGCTTCTGAGCACATGCACTTTGTAGAAAGGCAGACTGTGGGGAGAAATACAGCCTAGGCAAGGCCACAGCAGGCCTGGCACTGTAAGTGGCATAACTAGCTGAGAGTAGCAATGAGAGGGAGCAAGTATCCTATTCAGATCCCAGGCCACACAGGTGCTCACGCCAGGGGTCCCTTCTGACAGTTTGGAGTAGTAGATAATTGAAGAAGTATTTCACCCATGAAAATGTGACGTATGTGGAATGTACCTCCAGCTTCGAGCTCTTGGTAAAGCTTGTTCTTTAGGTGTAATTGATGCCCTCATCAAAAAAAGTGAAGGCCAGAGTCAACTTAGAGAACAGAAGCAATCAGCTTTTGAAGTTAACCTCCATGTGTGAAACCACTATTGTGATTTCAAAGTCTCATTGAGTAGTAAATATAGAGCATGCCAAAAGTGATTTTGCAGTTAATAATAATGTTCTTCCATTTAAATAATCAGACTGTAGCCTCATTACAGCTGTATTGCATGAAAAACTATTTGTAGAGAAGAGATCTTAATCATCCACTTCAGTAAAATTTACAGGGAAACCAGCTTCAGTGAGTTAATTTCAAAGAATAACATGTTTGGTCTTGGACTATTCTTTCACAGCTGAAAAGAAAATCAAAGTGTTTTGAAAATTGTTCTGAAAGAACAGAAAATTATAAACAACACAGAGTGAATGACTTCTAACTGCCCCTTTGCAAAAAGGAAAAGAGAAGACTCACGAAACAGATCCTGCCTCCAGTAAGAGAAATTGATGTACGGACGGCCCCCAACACAGGAATTGGACACCAAAGACTTCAAGAAACAAAAAAAGCCAGATATTTTCAAACCTTCCAGATGGAAGATTTTGCTCTCTTACCCCAAGATCCTTTTACTCAAGAGGCAGTGTTGACATTGCTAATGAGGGATGACAAATGTCTTTTTAACTCTCTCTGTGGTCTTCTGTTCTGTTGTAAACAATGTACCTAATAACAGAGGAAATGGTCTTTTGATGCTGTTACTGGCTGGGGGGGATTTCAGATGACTGATGTAACATGTCAGTAACAGATACTTGTGCTTTAATATCTATAGATTTGTGGACTTTAAAATAAATATTTTGATTTTCCAAGCAGAGCAGGCCAGGGAGTGCCATCAAAACAAAACTATGTGTTCTGCTGGCCACGGGCTCATCCTGGGAGCTCATGACAAGGGTGTTTGCCCACAGTTCATATTCCTCTCCTGGTGCACCATAGGGCACATATTACTGTATCAGTTAGAAACTTGTTTACTGTGTGATAAACTCTTAAGCTACCAATTCCTCTGTTAACTCAGTGGTTTAAGGCTATGTTTCTTGGGGCTGAAAATGATAATAGCATGTGAGGGGCAACATTTTAAAGTCCTAACTTTGTTACAGCTTTCCTAACTTCCTTCTTATAGTGCAAGCATGTAAAAGGCATGCATTGGACTTGAAAGTCAATAGGATGCACATGTCCAATCTCTTGGGAACCTCATTCCTAAAATTATAGTCAGCAGTACAACAGTTAACTAAAGGGGTCTGATCCCTTCTGGAAGTCCCTTCCAACTTGAATTACCCCATGATCCTATGAAACTGGTGGTAGCTAGTATGAGCAGGAGACATGAGGTAATAAGGATGTGTGAATGAAATTTGTGTGAGAGTAGGTGGGCTGTGAACAGGGACTGGGGTGGGGAGGGAAGAAAAGATGAGAGCTTTTATGGGAAAAAAATAGATGAAGAAACAAGGGAGAGGTCACAGTAAACAGCAGTGGCAAAACTTACCTTGAGAAGTTAGTGAAGCTACGGGGGGTCCAAGTCAGGAATCCTGGTTATGCTAGAAATCAGGGTAATGTTCTGCAGGTGGAGCTGTGAAGAGATTAACCTCAGAAGGAAGTCTGTGAAATAGAACCAGATGATTTTAGGGCACAAGACAACAAGGAACTACTTCTCTCAGGCACTGAGATGGTTTTCTATTCAAACAGCTGAACTGCTGCTTTTTTAACCAGCGTTTCTTGAAAAAATTCCCCTTTGCCAGCTGTTTTGGGCAAATGCCTTTTCAGCCTCATCTTGCAAATGCATCTACACATGTCCCATCAGAGAGCACCAACAAAAGGTTTTGAGATCATTCTCATCCAAACAATGCAGACAAACTTTAGTTTAATGTAAAATTTGGGGTGGGAAACTGACCCCAGATGTGCTGAGCTACCTGTCTGTGTGTGCCTGGCCATGACACAGCTGCACCTTTGCTGGGCACGAGGAAGGAGCGGAACAGCAGAACAAGGATATGTGTGTTGGACATAGGCTGTCTAGCTGCTGGCACCACAGGGTCTTCATGCTTTGCTTCCTTTCAAGGTATATTGCTGTTATCTGTAAATAGATGTTCAGTTCTAAGAAATTTGTATATCTAAACAGTGACTGCTGAAGACAGGAAGAGTCATGTGAGTATGTCCAAGAGTTAGTGTAAAAAGCCTACGACACACTAAGAGAAAGTTATACCTCATACTCCCCAAAGCATTTACGAGCTGGCTCACAAATATTCATGGATTTTACTGTCTTCTCTGCAATAACACTAAGTCTACATTTGCTTCTGAAACATATTCTAGATGTGTAGAGTGAAGGTTAAATTTTAACAGAGATCTTTCATGATATAACTGTTCCCTTTCTCATTTACGTCCTGAATAAGGGTTGATAAATGTTCACATTTGCAGTAAAATTCAGAAGCTAAGAGGGTTTCATCTTGGCTTTGCAGTGACCATATGCGATCAAGGGACTATTAATATTGATCATCACAGTCTAATTCAAAGAGCAAAACTCAGGGAGTTAAAGCCTTGGGTAAGACTTGTAATTTACTGTTATGGGGAAAACTTTATGGCTAGCTTTTGGGTTAAAAATCCCTGAGAGTTTTCTGCAGGAAAGTTTTATTAAAGATGCATCGAGTTTAATGCAGCTACACAACACCCTCTGCTTACATATATAGATATGTACATATTTATGCATCTGGAAAATCAAATTTCCTTGCTTATGTTACATGAGATTTTAGACTACTTAAGAAGAATAATCTTGAAAATATCGTAATTCTTATTCTTCAGTTCTCTTATTTCTAGTATCTTTTAGCTCATTCATCTCAACCGAGTTCTTTTTCCCCCTGAAAAACCCCCGAAGCCCAGACCAAAGGACCATCCAGAACCCCTGGGATGACTTGCTCCTGCCATCATTTCTTAGGCTGACACAGGTCTGCTTTGTGGAGCAATGCATCTTCTCAGGGCACTAAACCAGACCTTCAGGGGTCCTTCGTGGTTTTTCTTTCCCAACCTTGTATTAGAATTCTTTTTCTTTATAGAACCACAGAAAATGGTGAGCTTGGAGATAGCAGTATTGCTGGATCAGTTTTCATCACGCAGAGCACTGCCAGCAGGTTACAGGTGGGAGCCAAGATCCAGAATCTTCAGTTTTATTCCCAGCTGTGCATTAACTTGCTCTCTTACCATAGGTGAGTGATTTTTATTAATTAACAATTGTATATATTTATTGCATCAGCAGAAAGAAGATCCCTACCTCACAGGGCATAATTTATGTTTGTAAAACACTTGAGGGTGCCTTGGTGAAGACAGTAATTGTTCCAGAGAGCAATCCTAATTCCTAATGGCCAGGCCCATGGCACTCCAGCTCTGACACTGCAGAGCAGGCATAAGGACAATGTTATCAATCTGAAGCATCGTACATTTCATTCCATTTTCTGTCTACCTTAGCTTTCAGTTTCCTCCTTCTCATGCTGATCGTGTTAAAGCACAAAATGTATTGATTTTAGAGCAAGTATAATTACCTAGAGAGGCTGTGGGTGCCCCATCCCTGGAGGCATTCAAGACCAGGTTGGATAGGCCCTGGGCAGCCTGAACTGCTGGGTGGCATCCTGCCCAGAGCAGGGGGTTGGGAGTGTGTGGGGTTAAAGCCCCTTCCAATACAAACCATTCTATGCTTTTATGATAATTGATTTTAGAGTAAATTACCTGAAGACTGCGGGAGAGATCCAGAGTCCAATCACTTGAGATTTTCCACATGCTTGGATGGATCTGGAGAAAACAGCGACAGCATTTGCAATATAGGAATAGCTAGAGAGTGCTCAGATCAGTACTCCAGCTATATCAATGCATAAAACCATGTTGAAAAGACAGGGGAGTGCAGATGGGGCTGATCTGATCAGCTTCTTGACTGTAGGCATGGTGAGATGGCTGTTAGACACAAGTCAGATCATTCGTAAATACCACAGCCACATTCACACAGCACAATTTGACTACTCCATTTTGAACAGTAGAGGTGAAAAAATTTGTGTTGCTAGTTCTGTAATGGATAATGGTGAAATGTTGTAAGTGAACTTTACAAAAACATTAGCCTAGTTTCCCACCACATAAAGTAGAGTTCCAGCCTAATAGTGTCTAAAACTTCACTATGCCTAATTCCTGGGTCTTAGATCCAAGGAAAACACCTCTAATGAGGTCAGAAATCAACCCATTAGCAAAAGTGAAATATGCAGGCTTGTAGGCTAACATTCCCTTGCTAAAAGAATTTCCTTCATTAAAAAGAAATCCTAATTAAAACAAACAAAAAGCAAACAAAAACAATTAATCAGAGAGAATTTCCACTGAGAATTTGAAGTATCTGGGTTTGTTATTAAGAACTGCATGTGTGATTTCTGTACTGCATACATAGCAGCTGTGCCAAGCACGTGGCCAGCCGTGCAGATGCAGTTTTGTTGTTTCATAGCTGGAACAGACTCATGGAACCATGCTGCCCACATGGTGCAGCTCATCCCAGCCTCAGATCCTTGGCAATGGAAAGGGGACGGGGTTTGCGAACTAATGGATGTCCCACCTGAGATCCTTTCCTTTGGCTTCCTACTTGTCAGCAGGGCAAAATGGTGCCTTCACTGAGGTTCTGGTGGAGTATAGCAGTCCTGGGGGAAAATCTGACAGCAGCCATAACTTGGAATGGCTCCTTCTGGCCATCATGTCTCTGAGGTACAGCTCTCTCCTCCCTCCAGGCTTTTATTTCCTGGTCCTAGTCAAACGTCATCATGACCCCAGTGTACTTCCTGTCCATCTGCCCTTGGGCTTTTGATGAAGAAGGGCTACAACCAGCATGCCTTCCCGCCAGATAGCTGAGACATGGCTGTAGGTCATCAGCGGTGGATGTTTTCTGATGGCTCTGCAATCACCAACCAGAGGTAAGTTTGTTAAGCAGAAGCTCGCCATGTCTGGCCTGGAATGCGCTGGGCTCTGCCAATCCCCAGAGAACATCAGCTGTGAGCACAAAAAGCCCATGGCCATGACAACCTCACACAGGGCAGCACTGCTGGCCGTGGGCTGGGAACTTCTGCAGGACTGCAATGAGAAGTTTTTTAAGAGTTTAGGATGAATAATTCAGCACTCCTTTAATTTGAGAGTTTTAATAACGGCAGTGTGTGTGTCCTGCCACATTACTTCAACCTTGCAATGAAGTACAAATAGATGTGATTCAGACTCTAAATATTTAAAGCAAAAATCTAATCTTAGCTACATTGTGTATGCTGTCATCTCTAAAAGCTGATAAAGAGAGACAATGACGGACAGCAGAGATTGAAATTAAATTCAAGCTCTGTATTAAAGAACTCGCACCGCTAATTCACATGAATGATTAACCACGGAGAGACTCGAGTCTGCACGCTACAGCACTGCCAGAGTGCTCTTTGTTGTCAGAGCCAGAGAACAGCCAAGGGAAGGAGGAGCCATGGACAGCCAGTCGGTGCCCTAAGGGCCCCATGTCTCACCCTGAATCATTGGCCAGGCGCTGATCCAGCAGGGAGTTAGAGGTGCTCTGGGGTGCTGCCCGCATGTGGCTCGCTCATGGGCTCTTCTAAGGCATCTGCTGTTGACCTCTATCAGAGTGAGCTCCAGACTTCAGGTAGCGCTTGAACCAGCTCCAAAGGTCTGTTCGTGCTTCAGATGTCAATAGCGTTGTATGTAACCAGGGGGATTTTATTAGCAAAACAAACACGGCTTAGTTTAGACAGATGGAAATATTTTGTGTTTCAGTAAGACCGTCTGCTCCAGCATAAAAATCCTCTTCTGTCGTTTCGCAGTGAGCTGAGCATGGGAGGGCTGGGTGCCCGCAGGGGCACTTCGAAAATGAAAAGCGTGTGGATAATCCAGGCAGTGATTGTTTCCTTCCTTGGGCTTTCGGTGGAATGCGGAGCTGTGTTCCAGCGAGAGCCACTGGAGCACAAGGTAAAGACCCTCTAGAAGCAGGATCACATGAAGGAGGATGAGGAAACCGGCCAGGCCCTCAACAATGAAAATCCGAGTAACGTCCTTGAGGCAGTTTTACTATTGTGAGCATTGCCATGGACCCAGATGCAACTGCAGGAAACACGGATTTTGGTTTATTTCTCATCCCATGGATTGGCGTCCAGGCTCTGCAACCAGCAAGTATGATCTCTTACTGAATAGGAGCAGAGCCGCAGGAGAGGAAAGATTAAGGGTATCAAAGGAATACATTTTTCATTTCACTCCTTTCTTATTACAGTAGATTAAAAGGAGAAAAAAAAAGAGTTTTGTTCGACATTCAATTTTGCAGAGAATTAAATAAGCCAAAAACATTGTTCAGAATTAGAGCACTGAATAAAGGATTTCAAAAACACAGTGTGTGGTTCGTGGTGGGATTTTTATTTCCTTTTAAGACAAGCCATATACAGCTGTACCAGAGCTATTGTCCTTTGTCCCGCCAAAGAAATAGTTTCTTTCTAAAGTGTTCAATCCACTGAGACACGTAGGTGCTTTGAAAACTCAAAAAAGAAGAAGGAAACCACTCAGACTCTCTTCTGGTTCAAATGACAATTATCTGAAAGGCAGCAAAGAATCAGGAATATGTGGATAAATTAAGCAGCTTTTGATTGCCTGACTGTGAACCGTAGTGGGATTTTTGTCTTCTTTGGGAATGATACCCTGCAGCAAGCAGTGTGCGCAGACAAGATGGAAGTTGGACCCAAAGGAGTGGTGCAAGGGCACTGATCGCTCGTAGCCCACATGGCCATTACAAGCCTGCACAGGAGAAGCCACTTTCATTTCTCGTAGATGGAGAGATATTCCTTGCCATTGAACCTCAAGGGGCCACAATTTGAAGAAACAAAAAAAAAAAATAAAAATGTTCTGATTCCTGTGGGTCAGGAGAGTCTCTCTTCTTTCTGCTCTGCAGGGACTGTCAAACAAACAGCAAGACTTCCATCACCATTTTCAAGCTGCACCAAGACCAATGCTAGCGAAAGCAGAAGGCCAAAAGGTGGAACCTCCTTTACAAGTGTACCTTTCAGATTCCTCATTATGAATGGCAGGAGAGTTCTCAAAATAAAAAAGACAAAAACACAACCTGGGCAAGTACAGAGGGGACAGAAGTTCTGACCATTTCAGCTTCTGTGTGCTGTTGTCTTTCATTCCCCAGAGAATTCCATGCTCCAGACAGGGCTGAAGAGCAGAGGGGCTTGTGCTGTGGGGAGTCTGGAAAGCTTCAGGATCTGAGCATGACTGCTCTGAGCTGGGAGTGAGGATGAAAGCAAGTCACAAGGACCTCGGTGCTGACATCTCCAGTGCAACAACTCCACTGACTCAAATTGCCAAACTGCAGCCCAACTGAGTGTTAACCAGAATACCAGAGCACTCTGGCCAGTGGTTGGTAGAATAATGGCAGCAGACATCTTCCTTTTGACGTCTGCAAAGTTGGCTGCCTCATGGCTCTGGCAGATTGTCCACAGATAGAGGAAGAGACAAAGAGCCAACCTAAAAAACCCAAATCTATAACTTTTTTTTTTCTAAGAGAATACGATAGACTTGGAAAAAATCTGAAGACAGGGCTATCTTTCCTCACAGTGACGTTTTTCAGAAAGGAAGTTCTCGTTACAACATGAGCCTAGGTATACATGGGAAACCTGGCTTGAGCCTTAAAGCTGTGCAGTAAATGGAGGTGCTGCGGCTGCAGGAAGTGTGTGAAAGGAAGATTTCTGGATCACTTTCAGAGATTTTAGGCCAAGTGAGCCCATAGTGCCAAGACATAATATGACTGAAAATGGTTTTGTTAATAACACAGCTTGAGCAGCTGGAACAGCAAAGGGCCGACCACAAAAATCTCATCAGTGCCGGTGAGTCCAGGGCAGCTGAAATTCAAGCTCGGAGCCATTCCAGATCGTTACACAGCTGGCTAAAAAATAATCTCCCATGTAACAAGAGTTTGGGAATTTGGGAATGGATGAACTTCAGTTTGAGTTCCCGAATTCTCCGTACAATTTTTTTTATTGTTTATAGCGATGGTTCCAGCAATCTTCAGGCTGCCAGAGTATCTGGTTTTAGAGAGTGCAAGTGGACACAGCTCAGCCTGAGCAGGCTGACCACGCACCCAGCACAGCCGTCTGCAGGATGGGAGGCTCACATCTGGCAATGTGACAGAGCAATGACAAAAACCATCCCTTGAAGCGTAGGGCCTTAAGTACACAAGCTGGCCGAGGGGTCCTCTGCCCATAACCACATGTTCATAAATATAAGAAGACGCAGCATTGGAAGAAGATCTAGGAATGTGTCAGAGGGAAACCTGGCACCCAGGCGTAGCAAGTAAACTGACCAAGTTGCTCAGCGGAAGCATGGACCTTGTTCCATCAGCTGAGATCTCTATTTGCTCGTTTGCAGGCACAAGCAAGCAGCACAGCCCCGTGGCTTTGGAGATGCCGAACTCAGCAGTGGGTCTCAGAGCTGGGGGAGGCGTTGGCAGTCCCTGCCCTGCACCAGGGTGGGTGGGTGTCCCAGCAGAACAGCTCTGTCCCCAGCTGCCACTGTGGCTCCTATTGTGCAGAGAAAAGGTTCCTGGGCCCAAAAAAGAGCTCCTCAGAGGGGCTGCAGAGGGGCTGAAAAGGAAGGAGACCCCCAGTGGGCTTTTTTCTTTTATCTTGCAGATGAGCCAGATGGCAGGAGTAGCAGAAACCAGAGGAGGAGCATGAAATGTTTAAGAATCAGATTGCTAAAATGCAGGGAAAACTGAAGCCAAAAACTAGGCCTGGGCAAAACAGGGCACCAGAGTGGAAAAACAAGCACAGGAGAAATGTAGCCAAAAGGCAAAAGAATAAAATATAACAGCTAGGATCCATTCAAATTCCGACTCTGTGCTATCAGGAGAGGAGACAGAGAAACCAAAGTCCCCTTTGTAGCTGCAGCTGCTCACAGTTATTGGCCCCACGCTGCCTGTGCTGTGGTGCCCAATGCCTGCAAATTTCTCTCATGATGTGAAAAAAGGGCAAAAGGACAGAGTGACCGGTGGGTCCACCTCACATCTTGCACACAGCAGCAGCAGCAGGCAAACACTTGGCTCATCTCACAAGTGGGAAGGATTGGCAGCATTGCCACTGCCCAGGGCAGCTCCTGCCCACCCACAGCCCGTGATGGTGGCAGCACATAGCATTCCCCCTGCAAGCCCTCCTTCCTTCCAGGGCTTCCTGCTCCCTCTGGAAGGATGCCACTGAGCTGCGTTTCAGGTGACTTTCAGATAGGGTTGCTGTCAGGCAGGAAGACGCCTTGCTATGGGATGCTGGAACACATCCTCTCTTCTCAAGAGGACTCTCATTTTTCAGAGCAAATGCCCATATGAGGGGCGTGACGTCAGCCCCACCATCTGTGGGACACGCCGTGCTCATCCATTACCAACCGCAGACTGACGGGCGCTGCTGCTCCATCAGCCCCAGAGGAAGCATCGCAAACCCAGCAGCCACCCCCGTTTCAGTAATGATCCCGTGACACTTTGTGGAAAAAAAACCAACATTGTATTTGATTTACAATTAACAGGATTTACAAATAATGACAAAGAAATGGATTAGCCATGAAATTAAGATGCTTTTGTTGATGAAGAAGTAGCTGGCAAAGCAGCTTTATGTAGCAGTCATGTACCTCAGTCCTACACGGTGTACAATAACTTACAGCCCAGGCAAGGTCAGGAACAGTAATACGCAAATGCAACGAGTCGAGTACAAAAACAAAACAAAAGCCCTCTCAGCCTGCTGGCCTGGCATTGGTGAGGCTTCCCATTTCTGTAGCTGGTGGGAAGATCCACTGACAAACACCAGGAAGCTTTCCAAAAAGAAACAAACAAATCAGCCAACGGTAGAACCGACCTTACGGCCACGCGGCAGCCTGGGTCAGCGGCCGAGGCTGGGGGTGGGCGCTGGGCAGGGCAGGGAGTGAACTCACACTGATGGCAGCGCTTCCCTAAGATGCTACTTCACTGCCAACACTGGCGAGACAAAAGGGAACGAGGATCTCTGATGTGCAATACAGCAATTGAAGAAGGCGTACCGAGCTTTTGGATTTGTACGTAGCTTACATACGTTGTAAGCGCACACTTCCCACTGGTGACTTTAACTGTCTTTGCTATGGGTTGATGGTGTTGTTTGATCAGAGGCAGAATTCCAAGGCTCAAAACAGTGGTTTTCAACACGTGGGCATACAGGTTTTCCAATATCGTACTAGTATTTTACATCACAAATACAATAAAAAGAAGTGATGGTAATTCTAGGACAGTTCCAAATAAAAAAATCATCAGAACCATTCTAAAATAAGATATTATACATAATCAGATCATGTTAAACAACACACTCTCGGCAAGCAGCTAATTACAAGCATTCTGCTGGTCATGGTTTTCACACAAAAGTCATTCAATAGCACATAAATATTTCTTTTTCTGATCTGCTTCTTTTTACAAAACCATTCATCAGATTCACAGAATTAGTACAAGTAAGGCACATTAGCATATATCATTAAACTCACATTGATAACAAAGGGTTGTGAAGATTTAAGGACTAATTCTCCTTTGTGGTGACTTCTGAACCAAAAGAGACTCTCTATCAGAAGAACCCTCCTCACAGCCACGGCATCACTGTCACTTCCATTGCAGCCAACCGTGCTGGGCGCAGTACTGTGCTTTACTGTGGGCATAAATAATTAACCTAAGAACTGTGTGTGGCAGCAAAACCCATTGGCAGATCTCACAGAGAAAGTGGTCACGTTGTTTACTACGTTCTGAGCACAGACGAAGTTTTGGAGCTACGTGGGAGTCAATTTCCAGTTATCAAAATAAAAGGGGATATTGCATGGTTCTCTGAATATGCGGTTATTTTCCTAGTACAAATATTGCTTAAAATATAAAGGACGCTATAATATTGAGTTACTTGCATAATGAATTCTAAATGCTGATGTCTTAGATTGTATGCAATTAACTGAACTACAGACTCGCCTTCCTCCACCCCCCACCCTGCCCCCAGCCAAAGGACTCTCCTTCCCACAGAAGATTCATTTACACACAACACAGCTTTTAATTAGAAGCATAATTTACAGTAAAAATTTTTTACATTACACCTCTGCTATCAAAAAAACATGAAATCTTTCATTTAAAGTTGTAATTACACATTAAAAAATAGAACACTATTTCCTTAACAGGAAGAATGAATTTGAACATCTTCAGATCAGATTTCTTTATTGCGGCTTTCGAGTCAAAGGTCAGTCACTTTATTCTCTAACGCAGCTGCTATTTGCTGTAAACGGAAGGCGAGCTGCATTTTTTGTGCAGCTGGATCCTCTTCAAGTGCATTTATAATCTGGAAGAAATAAACA